AATCACAACAACCCAATTCAAGCTAATTTACACTTAAACCAAGCTTAAAAACATAACTTAATCTACCAAAATTTTCCCATTTCTCACGGCAGCACAGGGAGAGCATAACTTTGGCAAATCACAATTCACACACATGGAAATTTTCACACAAAACATCACAGCAGCTAATTCAAGCTCAATTCTACTTAATCAAGCTTAAAACACATTTAAAATGCTACTAAATGCTACCGGAATTCCTCCCCATTTCTGGCACAATTCGAACACACACAAAGCAGCAATTAAATGGCTAATTTAGGGCTTAAAGAAGTGGCCATCATACCAGAAATTTCTAGCAAGAACCAGACCTAGCAGGGAGAAGAAGCCGGCGGCATCTGCAGGGGAAACTCACGGACTACCCAAAAAATTGAGGCAAATAAACAGAAATTAGCATAACCCAGCCTAAATCAAGGTTAAAGAGATGATTTCTTGGTTGTGGCTTACCCAAAAAATGCCCAGAAATTCAAACCCACATAGCAGCCGGCGGACAGGGGAGAAGAGCAGAGCAAATCTGGGATTTTCTGGGTTGAGAGGGAAGATTCTAAGCCTCAAATCTTGTGATTTAACAAGAAAGGAAGAGAATTCATCAAGATCCCACCGGGTTTCTCAAGGGGGAAGAAAGTCGGTGGCTTGAGGGGCTTGTCGAGTGCAGGGGAGAAGAAGAAGAGCAGATCACGCGGATAAGGAAGAAGAAAAAGAAAGAACAACTCAGCCATCCTTATCCTAATTTTCTTTCTTTTTAAGTCCCTCAAATTTGGACATTTTGATCATTAAGCCCCTCCATAATATTTTCCCTCAAATAAATCCCTTATTTAATGCTAAAATATCCCCAAATTTTGGGGTATTACAACTTCAATTCAATGCAATTTCTTGTGGGGGAGGGGGGGGGAGGATAAACGCAAAATTGCTTGGGTGTCATGGGAGAAAATTTGCAAAGTGATGGAGGAGGGAGGTCCAAGTGCAGGGAATGTAGAATTGTTCAATAGAGTGTTATTAGGCAAATGGAGATGGAGGTTGTTAAAAGAAAAAGAGTCATTGTGGAGAAAGGTATTAATAGAGAAGTATAACATTAATAGGAAAAATGAATGGGAAGGGGGTAGCTCAAGGTGGTGGTTTGATTTATGGAAGTTAGATAAGGATTACAACAGCGAGAGATGGTTTAGGATGAATGTGTTCAAAGTAGTTAGGGAGGGAATTGAAACTCTTTTTGGCATAACATATGGGTAGGGAATGGCCCTCTTAAGGAATAATATGATAGATTATACAGGCTATCAAAGGATAAGGATGCTTTAATTTCTGATATAGGAGATTGGAGTGAAAGGGAGTGGCAATGGAGATGGAGATAGAGGAGGCCCCTTTTTGCATGGGAACATAATCTTTTGCAGGAACTTCAGTCGGAATTACAAGGAGTGCAGATAAAACAAGGGCAACAAGACAATTGGATTTGGAAAAATGGACACAAGGAAGGATACTCAGTACGATCAGCATATAAACTGCTATCATCAAAACCAAGGGAAGCATAAGCTATTGTTTACACAACAATTTGGAATAAGCATGTTCCATTTAAAGTGACAGCCTTTGCATGGAGAACACTAGAAGATAGAATACCCACAAAGGAAAATTTGTTGAGGAGAGGAGTTAAAATTCAAAATAGTGACTTGTCTTGTGCACAATGTGGACAAGTGCCTGAGACCACGGATCATTTATTACTTGAATGTGAAAAATCATGGCTAATTTGGGCTTCATGCTACAATTAGTGGGGCATATAGGTGGTACCACAAAGAGTAGGCTGGAAACATATGTCACAACATTTTGGCTTAATATCCAACAAATGCTTATAGAAGGCGTGGGCAGTGGTCTGGTTTTGCATTGTATGGTCCTTATGGTTATGGAGAAATGGCCAAATCTTTCAGGAGGAGGCAACTACAATGGAAAAGGTAATATAGCTTGTCAAACGTTGATCCTTTTTTTGGATTAAAACTAGTATCTGTCCTGATCTTGATTGGAATTTACAGCTAAGATCACCAATAGAAGCATGTAGGCTGAGGAATTAGTCCCTGATTTGACTTCTTATATTTCTATTTTTGTGGTCTAAATTAATGAATTTATAAGCTAATAGGAAAGAAATTCTCGATGTAAATAGGTTTGTGGTACTCCTTCTATTCCTATCAATAAAAATTCTTTTCATTGATAAAAAAAAAAAATTAATTACTCATTGTCTTGTAACCTTAGCATCGATAAACTCTTAAACTTATTTTTCAGCCTCTGTTGGTCATTCTGTCAACAGAAGGCATTACCAACCTTCTGTCCAAGATCAAG